GGCGGGGCGGGGCGGGGCCTGGGGGCGGGGCGGAACTCGCGCTGCTGGGAGTTGGGAAAACCGAGTCGTGGAGCGGCAGATGGAACCTCGCGATGATTCGCCTTAGTTCTCGCGGTTGCTCGATTGGTGGGGCTAGAGGCTCGTTGTCCAAGTGATGCGCCTATTGGCTGAAAGAGTGTTCCTCTCGACAGGCTGCGCCCACTGATCAGCTCTTGCTTCCGGCTCGGGTTCGGGGCTGGATGTCAAAGAGAGTGGCTGGTGGCTTAGCTTCGAGGAGGGGTAAATCCACCGGCGCCAACCTCAGGAACCATCAGTAACTGACCTGTTCGTTCATTCGTATATTCATTCAGGCGCTCGAGCTCTCATTGTATTCATAGGTTGAGGGATGACAGTGGTAACTCCCGATGTTGAGCTTTTATCGTGTGCCGTGCAGCGTTCTGACAGCTGTGCCCGGACGACCACGTTTCAGCCCCAGCACCAACCCGGTGACACGGAAACCGTCACTGCACCGGCTGACACATTTAAACCTGGGGCGGGTGGGTTGGGTCAGCAAACCGTGAGGCTCAGCTTTGGCTTTAGGCTCCCGCCCGGCGCACACCGAGAAGTTCCATAGATGAGGATCGTCTCAGTAACTGCTGAAAAGACCGATAACAATTTAGAAACCGAAGTATTAGGACAGTTCCTAACACGACTATGTAGACCGTCAGATAACGTCTTCAAGATGAAAATTCCTGTGTCAGTGGAGGCTTCAAAGACAGAGGGGCTTCGTGATGGGGGGGATCCAAGTATCGTACAGAAACACTTTTTAAAATTCTATTTTTTCAAAAAAATTAATCCTCTAAAACTGTCATTCTTTGTCTTTTGAAAAATTTGAATTTGTTAGAGGCTTTTTGTTGCTTCAAAGTTAAGCAAACTTGACTTTATAATGTGCTAGTTTTATGTTGGTTTACTCTTAGAAAGTAATAACCTAAAAGACAGAGTTATAGTAAGTAAAAACACCAATTCCAAAATAAAGTATTAGTTATAATGAAGTATTTATCAATTCTCTATTTATTATATCTGGTCTCTAGGAGTTACTAAGATGTGGCATAGTATATGTCCTATATTTCTAAGATCTTTTACAGTTTCATAATACCGCAAGTACTTTGTCGGACTTAAGGAAACCTTCAGTTTGTGTAAAAGGAAAAATCCTTAGGGTATGAAAGATCACCCCAAATAATAAGACTTGCAGCTAATATTAAAAGAATGAAAAAAGATAGACGACCAAAATCGAATTTTTTTAAACAAAAGTAATCAAGTTTTTTAGCGTTCATTTCTTTTTTAAAAAGAGAAATATTGATTTCTGGTGCATTAATATCTGCTATATCGTCATTAAAAAAGAAATCACGTAGAAATAACTTTCACACCCTCCTCAAACTGACAAAGTTGCCAACAGTTTAGATGTAATATCCTGTGACCATTCTTAGAAGTTCTCTCTAGTTGTAGAGTCACTTTACATATATTTGCCTCAAAATAATGAGGGAATCTTCTAATTTATAATGATAATTTTACACTCCTTGACAACTGTAAACACCAACAGGCGGTGATACCCCTTTAAGAAAATTCCAAGGAAAAAACAACCCTATTTAAAATTCCCACCTCTGGCTCCCAAGGATTGGATTACAAACTTAGACAAAATACTCTTCTCCACTCCCTATTGGTGGATATTCCATCATTCATTCTTCTGCCCGGAGTTTTGTGAGGTACCGGAATGCTTTCCGGGAAAAGGCTGTTCTAATTTAGTCTGAAACCGTCCCACTTTAGACTTTTTTATGGTTATCAATCTATAAGAAGAATCTCCAAATTGATACAGCTGGAACCAAGCAGGCAAATCAATCGATCAAGACTGTGATTCGCTTGAAAAAGAAATGGAGACTTTCAAGCTGACTGGGTAAAGTGACAAAGGATTTTACGACGCAGTTGAAGATTTGGAGAGTTAAAGAAACTTCTCCAGGTTTGGCTAGTTTCTAAGGAGTATCAGAGGAAAAGCAGAGAAAGCATAGGCACAGAGTGGCAGGATGAAGAGTTTTGTTATTATTGTTGCTTAAATATGGATTTGGATAATAGTACTGTAATTTTTAAATGAAACAAATATTTTTGTTCATAGACTATATCTGGCCAAATAAACGATCTGCCTCTTAAAGATATGGGAAAAATAGAATTGGCTTTAGAGCCAAATTTTGTATATATTTGTAAATTGAGAAATCCGGGAGGAGATCTACCTATGGCCAAGCAAGACAATAGCAGAATCAGCAGATAGTTTGCATAGGATAAATCTCCTCACCCCAAAAGAAGCCTAAACATTTATATTTTCAAGGATAAATTTTTTTATTAGTATTAAAATATCACAGTTCAGGAAAATACTTATATTGATAAACAAGAATAGTTCTTGAGTGGTGGTTGTTAGTTTCTATATGAAGATAGAACATAACGTACAATCCTTCCAAATCTCATACCATAGCTCTGGACAAAATGAGGCTCAGAACTTTGAAATTAAAACTTGTGGACATTTCGTGTTGCCCAGATGACTTTTACAAGCCATGGGTACGTTAGAAGCTCAGATGTGTGTGGCGCTGAGTTATTCAGAAAACTTCACAGTGTGGTAACAATTGCCCATCAATTGCTGCACAACCAATTGCCAAGATTTCAGTGAGGAAGTGGCATCAGAGGAAGCGCGCAGCCTGTGAGCACATAGGTGCACACCACCTAAAAGAGCAGTTGACTCTGACTTCCGCAGAAGGCTCATTTGGGAACGTTGCTTTAGATAATAATGTTTTTAAAAGCATGAGAAGTTCCACGAAGGGCCAGCATTGCCAGAATTAAGGACTTTGGTGGTGCCTTTTGGTAGGAGAGGTACCATCAGAGAAGGGTATTAGAAGATGATAAAACCGGCAGTGTAATTTTAAAAGATTCCAAGGGCAGAGACCAAAAGCTCAGGAGCTCAATAATATAAATACTGGCATATAGATTGGTAACTAAGCCTCTTAAGATATTGTATCCAAATAGGTTTACTGCTGCTGAATAACATAAACATTGCTGCATTTCTTTACAGTCTTTGAAAGCATTGAGTTTAGTTTAGCAGTGCAAATATGCATTTTGTCAGGTATGAATGTGCTACAGTAATTGTTCACATTAAGTTGGTTCTTTATCCTTTTCTCTCAGAACTTAAGTGTGTTCTCCTGATTCTACTCAATGAGGTGAAGGAATTTCTACTGAAACCTTATGACTGAAAGATTATAAGGAGACACATTTTTATTCAGACTGTAGGTTTTCACCTGAGCTGTTTCTGAGACAAAACTCCGTTCCTCACACACTCAGGAAACTGCCTCAATGTACCAGATCTGATGCTCAATACTGGGAAAGCAAAGGTGAACCAAGGACAGTCTCCCAAAAAAGAGCAAAGTGCTTAGGGGTGCCACAGAGGTGTTTGTCTCCTACTTATCTTTGTCTGTGTACAAAACTTGTTTCAAAGACTCAAATTCATCTACTCTAAGGTGTCCATCAGTGGTTTCTAAGTAGGTAGAGGGAGAAGAAATCTGTAGCTCTGAGACGAGGTTCTCATGCTACAGTAGGTAGGTGTGGCAGATGGCAGTACTCACCAAATACTATCTATGTAAGGCCCTGGATGGCCATGCCCACTTGGAGTTAGGGAAGCAAAGGAAATGGAATGAAATGAGCATGGCTTGTGTCACTTCTGGGCAATGGCATTGAAAGGCCCCATTCACACCTTTTCAGTCTTTTTCTGTATGACTGGTGTAGATCAGTTAAGCCTTAGTCAGCTGGGGTCTCTGAGTGACTCTGTAGAAAAGACATTCACCCCCCAGCCCCCCAGCCTCGGGCCATCCCTCATCTAAGTAAGCTGCAACATTGAGGAGTTACTTCATTATAGCCCGCCCAATCCTGCCTTATCCCCTACAGTTGGCATTTAATTTAATTGTTTTAATTAAGAAAAAAATCTTATCAATTGAGTTTCAGGTATCCGGTGGATAAGGTATTTGGGGAGAAAAATCTCACTATCAGGATGGTTTCACTGTTGACCTAGTAAGCATTTATTAGAACATAGTTAGGTACCGGGCACTGAATTCTGAGTGATCCATCTATGTGTACAACAAGAATATATACTTAAGTTTGATTTTTGAAGATGTGAGAGACCTCTGCCATATTGTCTTTGGAAATCAAAGCGGCCCTATCTTATGAAAGTCTTGTAGTTGTGTGACGTAGAAGAGCCAGAATTACACATAAAACTGCATTGTGGTTTCATAGCTATTTTTCATTTATTTATTTTTAAATTAGTACATATGTGCAGTACATAATGTTTATATTTCTTGTGTGGAGCTGGTACATTTATGTAACACATCTTAATTCCTTTTTTCATTCCCTTTCCATTCCTTCCCCCCTCTACCCATCTCTTGATTTCCTTCCTTTAACATTTAGTCGTGTTATTTCTATACCATAAATTCACTTATTTTAAGAACACAGCTAATGATTATTTTAAAAACTTTATAGTTATACAACCATCACCACATTCCAACTTTAAAAACTTTCCATCACCCTGAAAAGATACCTTGTCCCCATCTGCAGACTGCTCCGTTTTGCTATCCACAGCCCTAAGCAATCACTTATAAACTTCCTGTTTCTGTAGGTTTACCATTTCTGAGCATTTTATGATCAGTGGAATCATACAGTAGGTATATGGTCTTTGACATCTGGCTTCATTCACTTAGTATAATGTTGTTGAGGTTTACTCATGTGTGTACATTATCATTTCATTCAATAATAATCCGTTATATGGCAGTGACACATTTTGTTTATCCACTCACCTCTTGGCAGACATTTGGATTGCTTTCTGTCTTTAGCTATTATGACTAAAGCAGCTATAAAGATGTATGTAAGTTTTTGAGTGAATTTGTGTTATCCCTTCTCTGGGGTACAGATGTAGGATGTAGGAGTGAGACTGGTGAGTCATACCAGAATGCAACGTTAACTTTTTGAGGAATATCACAAGTGCTTTCTAAGTTGTATGCATCATTTTGCATTGCTGCTGGAAGTGTAAGAGAATTCCAACTTCACCGTATCCTCACCAACCCTTCTAGTGTCTGACATTTTTTATTATGGCCATTCCGGTAGATATGAAATGGCATCTTACTATTGTTTTGATGTGTATTTTGCTAATGACTAATAATGTTAAGCATCTTTTCATGTTCATTGGCCATGTGTATATATCTTCTCTGTATATGTCAATTCAAATATTTTGTCTATTTTAATTGGGTTATTTTCATCTTATGATGAGTTGCAAATATTCTTTATATGTTCTGGATAAAAGCCCTTTATTAAATGCATGATTTGAAAATATTTTCTCTGATTGTGTAGGTTGTCTTTTAACTTTAGTATTGGTATCCTTTGAAGCAAAAAAACTTTTTAAATTTTTGATTAAGTACAATTAATCTTTTTTTCTCTTATCATTTGTGCCTTTGTTTTGTACCTGAGAAATCTTTGCCTAACCCAGCTCGTGAAGATTAACACCTACATTTCCTAAGGATTCTACAATAGTTTCAGCTCTCGCTTTAGGTCTTTGATACATTTGAAGTTAATTCTTATACACATGTGAGGTGGGGTCACCTTCATTCTTTTGCACGTGCCTATCCAGTTTTTCTAGCATTATTTTTTGAAGAGACTAATATTTACCCCATTGAATGATCTGGACACATTTATCAAAAAATATTGATCTGCAAGTCCCTGGCCTCAGTCACAAACACACACACATGACAATTGACCATATTATGTCAGAGCTTAATTTTGGATTCTCAAGTCTTTTCTGGTTTTCTACATGTCAGTCCTCATGCCAGTACTCTATAGCTTCGCTTGATTCTCCCCTCAAGGATTACTGAGTTATAACTGACAAACAAATGAACATATTTAAGGTCCACAACATGATGTTTTGATGTAAGTATACCTTATGGAATGGTTCCCACAATCAAGCTAACTCACATAATGCAGTACCTGATATAATTACTATTTTTATGTGATGAGAATGCTTAAGATCTGCTCCTGGAGCAAGTTTCAAGTATATGACATTAGTAATCATAGTCACTACACTGCCCATTATATCGCTAGAACTTTTACTGAAATTTTGTAAGTACAGCTCTATTTTGATTACTGTGCTTTTGTAGTAAGTTTTAAAATTGGGAAATGTGAACACTTTCACCTTTTATGTTTTAAGGTTATGTTCTCTATTTTGAGTTTCTTCATTTTCATATGAATTTAAAAATCATCTTGTCAATTTCTTTAAAAAAAAAAAGACAACTGAAATTTTGGTAGGGATCTCATTAAATCTAGAGACCAATTTGAGGAACATTGCTGTCTTAATAATATTGAGACTTCTAATCCATGAACATGAAATATTTTTCCATGTATTTGTCTTCTTTAATTTTCAGTGTATGCATCTTATACTTTTATTCTGAAATATTTTATTTTTTGATGCCATTATGGATGAAATGCTTTTTAAATTCCATTTCAGACTATTTATTGTTATTTTATAGAAATATAATTTTCTTAAAAAATTATTTTGTATACTGTGACCTTATTAAACTTGTTTCTGTAGGAATATTATTTATTCATTTTTCCTAAATTCCTTAGAAAATTTTCTACATACAGGATCATGCCATCTGATAGAAAGTTTACTTCTTCCTTTCTAATCTGCATGTCTTTACTTCTTTTTCTTGCATTTATTGCACTGGCTGAAATATTCATTACAATCTTGAATGCAAGCAGTGAGAGAATGTGTCCTTGCCTTGTTTTTAATCTTAGGTGGAAAACATTCAAACATTCACCATATGATGCTACCTTTAGTTTTTAAATGAGATTTTTTATTAGGTTGGGAAGTTTCTATCATAAGTGGGTATTTGATTTTGCCAAACTTTTTCCTGTGGATGAACATGTGGTTTTTGTCTTGTATTCTATTAAGATAATATATTACATTAATGAATTCCTATGTTAAACCAATTTTCCATCTATGGGATAAGTCACCCTCATGTGCAAGATATAATCCTTTTTTATATGTTTTTAGATTTGGGTTACCAATTTTTTCGTGGACTTTTGTATCTATATTCATGAAGGCTGGTGGTTTTTTTCTTTGAGGTCTGTTTTGGTTTGGTCACAGGGTAGTTCTGCCCTCATGGAATGAGTTGGAAAGTGTTCCCATCTGTAGTTAGTTCTGGCAGAGATGGTCAGAGATTCATTTTGTTTCTTCTTAAATGGTTTGATAGAGTTTACCACTGAAATACTTGGGCCTGAGCTTAGCTTTGTGGAAAACTTTTACATTATTCACTTTGTCTTTACTTACTATATACCTATTCAGATGGTCTTTTTTTATTCAATTTCAGCATTTGTGTCTTCCTGGGATGTTTTTCCAATGCCTCTGCTTACATAAGGATGATTTAAAAAAAAAACTAGGACACTGCCTAAAGTCATAATGACTGTTACTTCCTAAGAGGGTCCCTGCCCACCCTTACATCTCCCCCATAGGTCAGCACCCAAAAGTTAACACCTGGAACAGCAGGGGGACCTTAAGAGTCCAGTTCCAGGAGATTTGCCACCTATATGGAATGGTTGATCCCCCTCTGTTCTCCCTGTTCTTTAGTTATTCAGTATTTTACACATCGCCTCTTGGAAATGGAAGTCTGAGAGCCCACTGAAGAAGACCTTCTCCTCGCATCTAGATCCGGAGCTGATCATGAACTTCAGCATTCTACTGGGCATGTCTGGCAGAAGAAACAGCATCGATTGATTGGTAGGACTGACTGGCAGTTGTGGGTACAGATTAAGAGGCTTAGGAACCCAAGGCTGGCAGGGAGAGAGTGGTATGTGGGGCCTGGGCTGATTTCTCATGAAATATTAGGCCCTGGCTATGGCTGTTACAAAGAAAAGGAAAGTGGCTGATGATATGTGCGTAGCTCAAAGTAAGTGAACCAAAGGATAGGTCTTTAACGGTCTTACTGGATCACGCAACACAAATTGAAACACACATTTAAAGTAAGGTCCCTAATTCAAATCCTCCAAGAAGCCTAACTGGTAACCCACCACCTTTCACTGACTCAGACACACACATTTCTTGTGGCATTTCTATGTCTCTGAAATTAGAAGGGGCATTACAGTTGATGACCAGTTACACATTGTGTATAAAATAGCAGTGTCTTGTAATCAAAGATGCTTTAAATTATATGAAATTCCAGAAGTGAATGTCATTGGCAAGCAAAATCACATTCCTCTGTGCCTGTCTTTCACCTTCAGAGAGAAATTCATTCAGAGACATTGTTATGGCCTGGGTCTAGATGTCCCCCCAAGTCCTCATGCAGTGATTCTTGGGGCTTTTCCCAAGGTGGTGGCTGGATCTAGACTGTGTGATGCTGGGATGAAGGATATGTGATTACTAAATCAGTATGCTGATTGGTTTGGCATAGTTTTGGGTGGGATTAAGGGTGGCCCACTCTGGGTGTGCGTGCTATCTGGGTGGGTAGCCTGGATACAATATAAGGGGCAGAAAGAGGGCTAGTGGGCTTGCTTGTGGCTTGCTATTTTCTGCCTTCTGCCTGCCTGCTCTGCAGTGCCCCTCTGCCATGGGCCACCTTGCCTAGGAGCCAGCCAACGATGAGCTGAAATCTCTATAAACTGTGAGCCAAAATAAACCAGTCCTCCTTTTACTTTGGGTATTTTGTCTCAGCAACAAGAAAAAAAGTAAGACATAGCTATTCTTGCATGATAAGAAAATAACACAAGAGTAGTGACAAGTATTAACTGCTTTGCTGCTTCCGTGCCTAGGAGCCAATAGATCATGGTGACAATTGGCAAACCAGAGAGTGTCCTGGAGTCCAGAGACAGCTGCACCACTGCCCAGGCTGATGGCCTATGGTGACAGATGTCCAAAATTGACAGGTGTTCTGAGTTTTCAAAGGAATTTTGAAATGCAAGTTAGCCAGGTGTGGTGGCACACACCTGTAATCCCAGCACTTGGGAGGTTGAAGCAGGAGAATTGTCATGAGTTTGAGGCGAGCCTGAACTACACAGTGAGCTCAAGGCCAGCCCCTGAACTACATAGCAGGACCGTATCTTAAAAGAAAAGAAAAGAAAAGAAAAGTTTACGTGAAACTCCTAATTTTCAAGTAATATCTCAATTTATTTTAACTATGTAACAAAAAAATGCACACAAGTTAGATCCAGTCTGCTGTGATCACTCAGATTACATATGACTTCGGCTGTAAAGTTGCATTACTTTATTAAGAAGCAGCATGAGACAAACCACTTTTGGTAGTGAAGCCAAAAAAGAAAAATCCATTTCAAAATTTAACACTCAGTGCATGGTTCTAGAATAAAAATATTGTAGGGCGTGTTACTTAAGTCACTTTTAAACATTTCTTCTGCTTCTCCCTCATTAGAACATAAGAAAATGTGGTTAAATCTGAAGATGTTGCAGTTCCTGTTTGTAAAAATAGATGATCACTTTTAACATGCAGGCTCAGGTTTCCAAAGCAACAGTATTCGCTTCTCATAGCTATAGACTGTGGCCAGTGAGAGACAGGGTGATGGAGCAGAGAATCATCAAATTACCAAGGACCAGCTTCCAGTTCTGGCCCTGTGTTATTGTGCAAGTAATTTAGTGTCCTCCGACTTTGTTGTCTCCACTTATAAAACAGGGATAGTAATACCTCATGTAGGTGTACTCAGGGCTGTGTGAGGTGAAACGTGGAAAGTGTAAAGGGCTGGGTAAATATCAGCCTTTGGCACTGCCCACTTCATATGGATGGTCTCGGGCTCTTGAATCTCACAGGCTCTTTCTCTAGACCACAGACCTGTCAGCCAGGGAGTTGAATAGGTGAGGAAACACAAGGCAAGAGGATTTTTTTAAAAGTTAGCCACGTTTTGGAATCTGAAATAGTACTGAGTCTCTGTAGAGGAGGTTTAGGCAAATCTTCGGTGATAAATTTGGAGGATTAAACTTTAATACCTGCAAGTCAGGGTCACCTAAGCTGTGCATCAGCCTTGGGAGCCCTCTCGCAGTTTGACCTTTAACTAGTTCCTTCCCTCTCTCATATTTTCATTCTATGCTGCTTTATGAGGAAAAGAAAAGCCTCCACCTTTTTCTTGGTGAATATCGTTTCCGTGACAATTTCAGATTTGAAAGGAATCAATACTTTTTAGTGTTTTAGATTTGAAAGGAGTCAGGACTTTACCTTGGTAACCTATGCGCAGTCTGCTTTGACTCTTACCTCTGGACAGTCTCAAATCCTGTTGAGAATCAAGCACGGAGCAAGGTATACATTTTTAGTGGAAAAGAAAAGTTAATGTCTTTCAGAAGACCGCACTCAAAACTAGCGATGCACTTCTATCTTCTAAGTTGGACTATGTATGAAAATTTACTTCCGTAACCTCAGATTTACTCTGGTAAAAATAAGTTGATTGTCTTATCAAAATGACTAAGCCACCTTGTTCTCACTACTTCTGTTTGTAGTTTGTAGTTTGTAGTTTGTAGTTTGTAGTTGACAAAGTATTGACTCCTTTCAAATCTGAAATTGTCACGGAAACGATATTCACCAAGAAAAAGGAACTAGTTAAAGGTCAAACTGTGAGAGGGTTTGTTTTAAGGGTTCATATACTTTTTCTATAAAGGACCAGTCAGCGAATATTTTAGGCCCTTATTTATTTTTAAAGGGGCTTTTTGGGTGGTATTTTAGGCTTTTAGAAGCATAGGATTTCAGTCACAACTACTCACCTCTGTTATTATAATCCAAAAGCAGCCATAGACAATTTGTAAGTAAGTGATCACAGCTATGTTCCAATAAAACCTTATTCATAAAAACGGTGGGTTTGGCCTGTCGCTGTAGTGTCCCAGAATGAAATTGTTTGAATCAGTCTTGACTGTCCGCTTTTAAAGTACACATCCAAGCAGCTCTCAAGTAATGCTAATTATTCCTTTCAATAATTCCCCTCATTCCTCCCCTCACGTCTTTTCCCACTGCTTATTGTACGTTCTTTACACTCCCAGTTTCATTTTTTTTCAACTGGAGGTAAGGAAGATGTCTCATTCTTTTTCTGATTCTTATTGGTAGTGCCAGCTGGGAAACTTTTACCTAACTCAGTCACAAAGGTTTTCACATAGAAGTTTTTATAATTTTAGGCATTAAGTTTGGCCCTGTGTTACATCTTGAGTTAGTTCTTGTATCTATAGTGAGGTTGGGATCAAATGGTCTTTTTTGTGTTTTATTTCATTTTAACATGTGAATTTTCAATGATTTCAACATTGTTTGTTGAACTACTACTTTTTCTCCATTGAAATGGCTTGGCCTCTCTGTCAGTAATCAGCGATTTGTGTATGTGTGGGTCTGTTTTCAGATTCTATTCTGTTCCATTGATCTGTTTTTAAAAAGTCTGAATAGTAGTACATACTGCCTTGTCTACTGTAGCTTTATAATCTTGGAAAAAGTCATGTTAACCCTCTAGCTCAGTTGTACTTTTACAACATTGTTTTGTTATATAGGCCCTTTGCATTTTCATATGCATTTTAGGAATTTTGTCTATTCCTACCCAAAATGAAAACAAAACAAAATTCATGCAGGTATTTGGACAGAGATGCCTTTAAATATTAAATTGCTTTGGGAAAAATTAACATGTTTCCATTTATTTAGGGCTTCTTTAGTTGATCGCAGCAGTATTCTGTATTTTTATTCAGGTCTTAATGATTTGGTAAATTTATTCCTATTTCCTCCTTTGGATGCTAATGCACATTAAATTTCAATCTGAATTTTTTTTGCTAATAAATGGAAATATTTTGCATGGTTTTCTAGCATTGTACAACTTTACTAAGCTCACTTATCCTAGTAGGGTTTTTTGTGTATTACATCAGATGTCTTTGTGAATAAAGGCAGTTTTCCTTCTTCCTTTCTGATCCAAATGCCTTTTATTTTATTTTGTTTCCTGATTGACTGTGCTGGTGTGACCTCCAGTGTTGAATAGAAGTGCTGAGAGTAAGTCTGCTTGTCTTGTTTCTGATCTTAGAAATAAAGCACTTAGCCTGGCATGGTAGCACACACTTGTAATCCCAGCTACTCCAAGAGTTCAGGCAGGAGGATTGCAAGTCAAGGCCAGACCAGGCAATTTAACAATATTTTGTCTCCAAAAAGAATTCAATAAATTCTGAAAAGAAAAGAAAGTGCAGGGAGATATGGTTCAGTGATTGAGTGATTGCCTAGTATGCACGAGGCCCTGGGTTCAATCCCCCACTCCCCACCCCCACCCCTCTGCCAAAAATTCATGGTGCTGCCTGGGCAATTTAGCAAGTTAGCAAGAGCTTGTTTCAAAATAACAAATAGAAGATGTTGGGATATAGCTCAGTGTGAAAGCCCTGGGTTTAATCCCCAATATGGGGGTGGGGGGAGAGAAGGAGGGGGAGGGGGAGAGACAGGGAGAGGGAGAAAGAGAGAGAGGTCAGGGAGAGTACAATTCTGTTTGCTGAAGAATGGATGCTAGATATTAGATTTTGTCCAATGCTTTTTCTCTGTTGATTGAAATGATCATACAGCTTTTTTTTTTTTTTAAATTATAGACTGATTTTCAAATGTTAAGCCAATCTTGCATTCCTAAGATAAACCCCCACTTGGCCATGATGTATTTTCCCTTTCATAACTTATTGGATCTAACTCAGTAAAATTTCGTTGTGAATTTTTGCATCTGTGTTTTGGAGGCATACTGATCCACAGTTTTCTTTTCCTGGTCATGTGTTTGTCTTGGTTTTGTATCAGGAGCTCTGGAATTAGAAAATATTCTCTCTTCCATTTTCTCGAAGAAGGTGTGGACTTGGTTTACCAGCTTTCTTAAATATCTGGTAAAATTCACCAGAGAACCCATGTAACCCTGCAATTTTTTTATTTTATTGACTTTTTCTTTCTTATTTTTCTGTTCTTATTCCATTGCTTTTTTAGTATTATTATTTACTTATTAATTATTTTCTTCTGTTTGAGTTTTGAGTTTTGCTTTGCTTTTTCTTGTTCCTGAAGGTAAACTGAGGCCATTAATCTGAGACCCTTATACTTGTCTAACATAAGTATTTAATGTTATGAATTTTCCCATAAGGTCTGCCTTTGTGGCCTCCTTGGATTCTTGCACATTGTGCTGTTATATTCACTCAGTTTAAGCTAGTTTCCCTTTCCTTTTTTGCTTACTTCTTTGACCCATGATTTATTTAGAAATCTGTTGCTCTTTTTCCAAATATTTGGACATTTTCTAGATAACTTTCTGTCACTGATTTATGGTTTAATCCACTGTGAGCAGAGGATACACTTTATAAGTCTTGAGTATAAGCTTATTGAAATTAGTTTTATGGCCCTAAATACAGTGTCCTCATATGCACACTTGAAAACAGTGTGTATTCTTTCTTTGGTACAGAGTTCTGATAGTCCAAGTCTTCTATATCCTTACTGATTTTCTGCTTACTTGGTATATCTGGTATTGAGATAAGCAAACCTCTCACTATAATCGAGGATTTATCTATTTCTTCTTACAGCTTTGTCTATTTTTTGTTTTGAAACTGTTATTAGGTGTGCAAACATTTGGGACGATTGTGTTTTCTTGATTAATTGAGCCCCATATCATTAATAAACTACCTTCTTTACCCTTGATAATATTCCTTTATCCTTGATAATATCCTTGATAATACATATATTCACTCTCGAGTTTGTTTTTTACTAGCTTTCAGGTATTATTTTCAACCCTTTCACATTTGACCTAGTTGTCTGTCTACATTTAAATTCCCTATAAACTGCATGTAGTTAGATTTTGATTTTTTTTATTCAATATGCCAATTTCTATCTTAATTAGGATGCATAGACCATTTACATTTAATGTAGTTAAATTTATGTCTGTCTTCTTACTATTTCGTATCTTTCCATCTGTTCTTTGTTCATCTTTTCCTCTTCTAATTGGGTTATTTTTATGACTCTTTTTTTTTCTTTTTTTGAGATGGCCTCACTCTGTAATTCAGGTTAGCTTTGAACTCACTATATAGCCCAGACTGGCCTCAAACTCACAGTGATCCTCCTGCCTTAGCCTACTGAGTGCTGGGATTACAGATGTGTGCCACTATGCCCAGCTATGACTCCATTTTTATTCTTATTGTTGGATTATCATTTATAAATCTTTATTTTGTAATTTTAATGGGTGCCATAGGTTTGTACTATATATTAATGATGGCAGACCTTTAAGAGCATTCATTGATAACAAACGGTTGGTTGCCGTACACATGCTATAGGTTCGCGATGACCTCTGTATATCTTTAACTTACCTGAATCTACTTTCAAGCAATATTATATTATTTCACATATTGTTTAAGGACACTTACTTTCTGCATCAAGATTAGCTGGAGTTCAGCTGATCCAATAATTTCTTTCTAATGAACAAAGAGTACTTGATTTAGGTGAAACTGGAGATCAGTCTGAAACGTTTGAAAGAAGTCAGTCCTAGCCACCATGACCTTCTGAGATATGCTCTTACTAAGTTCAGAGAAGTTACAGAGTTGAAATTTCCCTGGATTCTAGCTTCAATTTCGGGAGGGGGTAAGCAGGGGTAACTACAGAAGTTATTTAACACCCTCATTTTTCATTTAAAAACTAGAGGACAATGTATGTAAAAATATGCAAGAATCACAGGAAACCCACATATCCAACCACCTAGATGAAGTTGTCGCTGCTGTCAGCATCAGTCCTAGAAAGAAGATCCAGAACAAGCTGCCTCAGACAGTGCTATTCCAGCCTCCTCGAGAGAAACTCCACCTCTGTGAAGAGAAAGCAAAGTCCTGTCTCAGCAGTCACCAAGTAAGGAGCCTTTCCCTTCTCTGCCTGTTCTTTGGCAACTGGACTACTGTTCCACATATGACTGAAAGAAGTTGCTATTTTAGGTCACATTCCTAACCCGAAGACTATGACAAAAGAGTACATAAGAGAAAGCCTCTGTCAGATCACGAGTGAATGTAAGACCTCAGGGCTCCAAGCTCAGCAGTTGGCATGGGCAACAATAAATATTTATTGAGCTTCTACCCTGTGCCAGGTCTAGACACTGGGATACAATACAGTGGAGATGAAGCTTCTGTTCTCATAGAACCTAGAATTCTTTGTGTTCTGAGTTTTCTTGCTCTTGGTATCTTCTCTCCCATTTTCCTCTCAGAAGTTTTATTCATTCTGATTTGTCAGGTACTGTTTGTCCATTTATTATTTCATAAATACCCATTGTATGCCTGATGTGTGTCAGGTGCCATGCAGGCACCAAGGGTAGAGGGGGAAAAGCCACAGCCTCTGCCTCGGTGGGTTTATGGTCTGAGTGACGTGATGGACAGGAGGGAAGATCGTGGTAGACAGTGTGATGGGTTCTGTGGGGGACACAGCTCAGAGTGAGATAGACCCAAGACCAGAAGGGGCGAACGATGGTCCTGGAGGTGGTGAGGAACGGCAATTGAGGCTCACTTCTTGGGATGGTAGTTACTTGGTCTGCACAGGTAACAGTGCTTAGGAGTCAGCCAGGTGAGGGAGATGTCAAAGGGATTCTGGTGAAATGTAGTGGATGGGTGAGAACCAAGGACCCGAGGGAGCACAATCCGATTGGAGGACTAGAAGGAGCTGTCTGGGATGAGGGTTTTAGTGTGGTTTTATGGGTAAGAGCAAGGGCCTGGAGGGCACTCAATGCCCAGCAAAAATGTTTAGATTTTCTTTTATAGGAGCTAGAGGAATACCCTAGGATTATAAATGAGAGAAACCCATGAACAGGTTTGAGTTTTAAGAATGATCTTTCTCAGAGTAACTAGAGAAGAGTTGCAAAGATACACACAATTCCTGGCGGGGAATTACAAGCACCAGAAATGTACAAGGCAGAGGCAGCTGAAAGGCTGAGATCTTTGGAAAGGAATGTGGCCGTGCCAATCAGCAGGCCTGGAGGACAGAGGGGACAAGAAGATGGAGAGGTAGACACAAGGCAGAGGGGGTGTACAGAGCCCTGATTTTAGGGCTCAGTCTGCTTGGCTGATTGGGGAGGCCTGCCTGGGGCCTTCCTTAATGCCATGTGTGCAGGAGGAAGAGCAGCATTATGGCAAGTGGGCATGAATTTTGCTTGGAGCAGGTGCTTACTCATGCGCCGGGCCGTCTGCTAGATAAGCTGTCAGGCAGCGGCCCTCCTCAACCAAAGTTCGGCAAGAAAATTAATCCCTAACACCCAAAGGCATTTAGTGCTTCTCTCCTATGTGTGGTACTAAGGAATTCCTGCATTCTGTGGGCCAGATGAGGAACCCGGGGGTACAGCAATGAACGGGATGAACAAGGCACATGTCCCCCGGAGCCAAGGGGCAACAGATGTTGAGAATAAACCAGACAGTTGGAGACTTCCGTGAGTGCTAAGCGGGGAACAGAGTGGACTCATCTTGGGCAGGCTGACCTGGGGAGGAGTCTGAGGAGGTGACAGAAGGAGCCCGCATAGAAGAGCTGAGAGAAGAGAGTTCTAGCAGGAGGAAACATCACCCACACAACCTGTAAGGTGGGCACGTGTGTGCTGTTGGAAGTGACGCACGGAGCCCCTGGGCTGGAGAAATAATCAGTTATTTCGCCTCTTGCGTGTTGTATGCTGGGTGTCCCGAGAGATCTTAAAAATGTCAGCAAGTTACCCACGTGGTGTAATTCACTTTGCAAACTCTTCGATTTGGGGTAATTTTTAAAACATAACTTTAGAGTTACTAAAAAGTTATGGTTCAGCAGTTGTCAACATTTGCTTCATTCCTTTTTTAAGGTTCTTTGGTGCTGGGGATTAAACCCAGGCTTCCACATTTCAATCTATGAATTCACACTGAAAGTTTCTTCTCCACCTAACCACATCATTATTTTGAGAAAAGGTCTCACTGTGTAGTCCACACTAGCCTTGAACGTGTATCCTCCTGCCTCAGCCTCCTGAGGCTGAGCTTGAAAGCCTGCACCTCTCTGTCCAGCCTGCCAGGTCTCCTTAGTCTCATCTAGCTGAAAGTGCCTTACCTCACTTTTCAGTCTTGAGAGTTTTCAGAGGTCCACCCCAGTTATGTTGTAGAATATCTCTTTATTTGAATTTGTGTTACATTTCTTCTTGATTTTATTCCACTTATGCATTTGAGACAGGAATACCGCAGACACGATGTTAGAGACCGCCTCAGTGCTTCATACCAGAAAATATAGACTGTCCTTTGGGCTCCTTGCTGGGGTGCTCACCTTGAATGCTTGGTTAAAGCGCTGTCTGACAGGTTTGTTCATCGTGGAGTTACTTCTCTGTTTGTAATTATTACGTCCCTCCTAGGGAGACACACCGAGACCAAGTAACACCCAAGCCTTCACTCCTACGTGTTAGCATCCACTGATGATTCTTACCTGAATCTGTTTCTTGCCTGAATCTATGATGCTTGTCAAATAACGAGTCTCTGACTCCAGTATATTTTCAACATTTGTTTGTATTTTATTATAAGGAAGAGCTTTCTCATCACAGTTTATTTATTATTCATTTACACCCATAAAGGTTCAGGAAGTCCGATTTTACAACAGGACTATGACGTGTTCCAACCCTTTATTTTCATGGAAGCCTCAGCCCTCTGGTATTGGCCAGTGGGGTGGCTTCAAGCTGGCCAAGTCTTTGGTCTATCCTCTTATTCTTTGAACACTCTCTTAATTTCTGGCACAAGATTTTTCAGGTTTATCTTGGACTTCTCCTGGGTCTAGCCAGGAGATCTGGTTCCTGATCTCCATACAGGCTATCAGAGAGTAGAAAAAAATTTTAAAACCTAAAGGTCCAACAATGGCTTAATTATGATATAGCTACACAATAAACACTGTGCTGCCATTAAGATTTATAGAAAATGGCATGAGAAATGTTCACAAATTGTTAAAACAGCAGGTGGCTATGAGCCTGTTCTGAAGAAGAAAAACACATAAATGAGTTCATAAAAATGCAGAATAATAGGCTATTTAGCATCCTGGTTTTATCTCCATGAAGCGACCTTGTGAGAGGCTTTAGTCTTCGTCTTGTTGCTCCTGTGCACTTTGACAGCAGCAAGGGTCTGTCACCTTTGTAAGCGGAAACCGTTACCACAGACAAGAGCCGCAGCTCTGCCCGTTCCACCACTCTGGAGTAGGAGTGCATTCCTTAGCTTCCTCCTGTTGAGTCACAAGAGTGCCTCTTCTGTGGTGAACTGGACGCGCATTTTTATCAAGAAGAGTGTGGTTTCAGGGTGCAAGTGTTTCTACGGGCCTTGCCTGGGGTCCATTGAGGGCCTTCTCCCTGTCTTCTCTACAGGTCTGTCTTGGATTCTGTTTTCTTTCTTTTTTTTTTTTTTGCACTTTTTACTTGCCACCATCAGCTTCCCTGCCTCATCCCGAGTATCTATTGTACATAAACCTCAAAGCTTAGTGCCCTGAATTGAGCCATTTTTCTCCGGAGCCTACGGTTTGTGTGGTGGTCAGTGTTCAGCTGTGCTCCGCGTAGCATCTTCCGGGCTGGGTGGGCGGGGAGCGTCTCCTCCAACATGGCCGACTACTCAGCGGCTGAGTACGCAGTGCTGGCAACCGGTGCCTTTCCTCGTGGGTCTCACCAGGGGCCGCTTAGTGTTCTTTGCGGCTTGGTGGTTGGGTTTCATATTGGACTGCTGGGGCCATGATAGCAAAACACCACAGGGCTGAGGGCTTAAACAGCAGAAGTTTATTTTCTTGCAGTTTGGGAGGCTAGAAGTCTGGGGTCAAGGTGTTAGTGGGGTTGGTGTCATTCTGAGGCCTCTGTCCTTGGCTTGCTCATGGCTTCCCTGTGTCTTCACGTGGTCTTTCCTTTGTGCACACGCACACATCCCTGGTGTGTCTTCCTCCTCTTCTGTAGCAACACCAGTCACACTGGAGTAGGGTCCACCCTACTGGCCTAGTGTAAACTCAGTCACCGCTTTCAAGGCCCTTTCTCCAAGTGTAGCCGCATTCTCAGGTATCGGCGGTTGTGATTTAAACACACTGATTTGGTAGGGACACAGTATGACCCATATCCAGGTTCCAAGAATGACACCCAAAAAGAGAGAGAAAGTGAAAGTCATCAGTTCCTTGAGACATGGGTCTGAAAACTGGCAGTGCACCATTTCTTCCATATTTTATTGGCCAACCTGTCATGAAGCAAGTTCAACCTCAAAGAGATGGGGACAGAGACCCCCACTTCTGGTTGGAGGCATTGTCAAAGGATGTTGGAGCTGTGTTATAAAAGCACCAGCCTCGCTTTGAGTATTTCACTGCTCTTAGCTGACCTGGAGCTGGGAACCCACGGTTCCCTCTTCTCTTCGTCCTAGCCCTCACTCCTTTAGTAAAGTCCAGATGATCTCATTTACTATACTAATATCACAGGCTGCTAATGAGAGCTTTAAATTGAGAGCTCAAGTGTGTCATTTGAAAACCACTACCACCTGTCCACTTGTGGCGGAAAATTTAAGAGTCGCTCATCGAAGGACAGCTGGCAAACCTACTTCTGTATTTTTCACCTTTATGTGTACTATAAATTGTATTTGTTTCTTATGTCTACTGTTTATTTTCTTCTTGAATGTATCTCAAGTGCTCAGAACCATGCTTAGCACTCAGTAAATATTTGTTGAATAGATGGAAGTATATTTTGTGCTTTGTGACTCTTCATGTTATTTTCCTAACAGTATAAACAGGCTACCCAGGAGCTTGCGCGCTGCATAGCACTGACTAGGATTTGCTATGGCGACTGCCACTGGAAACTAGCAGAGGCCCATGTTAATCTGGCTCAAGGCTACCTCCAAATGAAAGGTGAGCTCGTCTCAGACTGAGGGCGGTGAGCTGGTTGGTTTCTGCTCTTCTCTCAATCCCACCTAACTAGAAGGATCATTTTTTTTTTTTTTTTTTTTTTGGTGCCGGAAATCGAACTCAGGACCTTGCGCTTGTCAGGCAAGCATTGTGCCACTGAGCTATATTCCCAGCCCCCTAGAAGGATCAGTTTTTTAAGTATTCTCCTTTCTAAATATTGAGATGCCATTTCTTTTTAAAAAGAGTCAATGAAATATACAACATATAAGTATTCCAAGGGAAAAAGGGAGATTGTCCTTCGGGGTTTGTCTTTTTATAATCTTAACGTCAGGGTTCTTAGGGGAGGATTAATCTGTTAGGTCAGAAGGTGTTGCAGAAAAAACCAAGACAGAAGATAGGGGCTCAGAATGGCCTCTGTTCACACTTTTCTTGATGAAAAACCTCTCGCTGTAAGTAGCAACAGCAGCAGCAACAGAGGGTTAACCGGAACTGGCCTGGCTGAAAATGTATCGGCTCACACAACTCAAAAATTCAAGGGTCAAACTGCCTTTAGACCCAGCCCCACCTGAAGTTCGAACAGTGTGCCCAGGATTCAGTTTCTCTCTTTTCCCACCCATTTTCCTTGGCACTGGCTCCGTTCTTAGTCAACGTTTGCCCACAGGGTGGCAGCATGGCTGCAGCAGCTTTAGGTTTCCCTTCTCGGCATTCTCAGGAGCAAAAGAACGCCCTGCCACTAAAAACATCCCAAGATTTGGGGGCACCCTAGTTAGACCAGCTTGGTGTGATTTGGGGTTTATGTCAAAGGCAAGGTATAGCCAGGTGTAGGGCCACAAACTTGTAATCCCAGCCCTCGGGAGGCTGAGGCAGGAGGATCACTGCAAGCTCGCAGCCAGCCTTGGCTACATAGTGAGTTCAAGGCCAGCCTTGAACTGCAGAGTGAGCGCGAGACCAAGACAAGGACAAGTCTCATTGGCCAGACCTGACTTTTGTCTCCACTGGCTGCTGGGGAAGAGCTGCCCTTGCCCAACTGACATGAGCTGCACATGCGGGTATGGAGCATCCCAGCAGGAAAGCAGAAGAGGGGAGAAAACATGGGTGCAGGGAGGGCAGAAACAGCAGAGAGCCAGGGCATGACGTTTTCTGCTCGCCATGCAACCCAGGACAAGACCACGTGCAAGAGTACATCTGTGACCCTGCTCCTTCACCAGAAAAGGGATGGTGAAGGATGCTGGGGATACTAACTTCCCAGAATTCCCGTACGTAAATAAACAGCAGTGGTAGAAAACGCCACCACGCCAAACATAGCATCGTCATCTGATCTCTTTGCTCAAGTCGAGGATCCTTAGAGCCAGAGGCCACCGTGGAGATCATCTCATGCAACCCCTCCCACTTCCTAGACTAAGAGGAAACAGCAGATCTGAGCTGAAACAGCCTGCCCCCGATCGCACTGTTAAGAAGTAGCTGATCTGAGACTCAGACCTAGACTCTCACTTGCCAATACCAGTGTCCTGCCATCTGGGATTTCAAGCGATGTTCTTTGTCCTTTTCTGGATGAATCTTTCTCAATTTAGCATAAAAGCATATCCGTGATTTAATAAGACACCCGAGTAAGGGCGGCATGGTATTTTCACGCATACGTAGCCCTACTCAGTCTTCGCTGCAGTCTTGGGAGGTAGGTATTATTATCATCTTCCCTGTTTACACTCAAGGAAACTGAGGCCAATGTTTCCTAGCAAGTGGCCAAGCGGGGAGCTCAGCCCACGCAGCCTGACTTCAGAGCTGATATTCTTGAACCTTAACCTGCCCTGTATTCAAGACGCTGAGTTCAAGTTGTTAAGGGAGGGGACCATATTGGACACACAGCCCCCAGGCCTTTTGTTAGACCACAGGCACAACTGGCGCTGACAAGTTTCAGGCAGGCTGATGAAGTATGTGCTTTTCAGAAAAATAAAATACATAAAAACTATGAGTGCCCACATATAGACAGCATGGCCCGATTTTCCTTATTAGAAAGTGTTTTGATTCTGCTTTGGAGAAAGCAGAATTAGCTTCACCTTTTGACAGCTTTTGAGAGATTTGAGATACAAATCCATGCATGTGTAAGCACCGTATTGTCTCACTAGTGTAAGACCTGAGAGAGTGAATAAAAACTAGGAGCTATGAATGACATTGTGAAACGAAAGGAAAATGCTCAAAAGTAAAGGGTGACTAGGGTGTGGGAAAAGAGAAGGGAAGGAAGAGGGAAATTATGTATGTATGTATATACAGGGTAGCTAACATAGTTGAACTACTGTCTTCTATTGCTTTACTGAAAGAAACAGTTAGTGATTCCTTGATTGATCAATAGTGCATGCCTCTATTTGTTTTCCTGAGAAACCACTTCGAAGATATCAATACGTAATACAACAAGCATTGCTAATTTCCTACCACTTTGTTTGTAACTCTGTATTGTTTGTATTGTTCTTTTGCTATTTTGTAAATGGTTGCCTGTTTGTTAATGTGTTTTCCTTCTTTTATTTTTTTTTTAAATTAAAAAAGAGAGATACAAGTCCACGTGATTCAGAACACAGTACTGGGGTGTAAGGATGTGAATGCCCATCGTTATCAGTAGGGGTGTGAGTGTGGGAAGCACAGAGCATTGATTCCTAGCTGGTCAGCGTCAGTGTCACCCCTGCCATAGTCTGATAAGCTTACAGAGGAGCACTAGAGCACACTGAGAAATTAGTCCCGAGTCGCTGTCATAGATGCCATTGTGTCGCTGTACATGTATTATGTTAAAGTAACTGTGATTATACAGAGTGGGCAGTAGATCCAGAATTTTTAGTATTTCATTAAGATGACTGTCACAAAGCCAAGATTAAGATTCATGAGTATCTTACTTCCTGCCCAGAATGCAGTTCTTGTATTCCATTTGTTTCTTACAATTATTTGTAAGATATTTTATGTCTGATGTTGGTAAGGTTTCAAAGCTGTTCAGTTCCATCTTGTTCTGTTTATTTCTGACAAGGCCATTTGGGGAACATTTTTATCTTGAGTAATCGATGAAAAACAATGCTGTGATTGTTACAGTCATGCTAGAACCACAGCTGCCGAGATACATATATGTCCATGCTCTGCTTGTCAATGTGCAGAAGACTTGCGGGATCCCTGGGTCAGAGAGAACTGTATCCCTGCCCATCCGAGATTAAAAAGAAAAGAAACCAAGACTTTATTTTCTTTGTCCATAGGATTTTCACTGCAAGCAAAACAACATGCAGAAAAGGCCAAAGAAATCCTCACCGACTTCATTGTGCCTCCTTATAACGACAACACGGATGTTTTCAAGTGTTCTGTAGACCTTTTCCACACCATGGGGAGAGCCTTCCTTTCCCTTCAGAAGTATCCTTTTGTCTCTGATCTTTATAAATAGAAATATTGCTCATATAATACTTACATTCAAGTCTCAGGGTGATGAATAGAGACCTAAGAGATGACGGAGGAAGGGTCACAGACAGTGTGAAAGCCAAGGAAGTCCAAAATTGAGGTCCCAGAATCGAGAGCCAAGTGGATCGTTTCCTGAACACAATTCAGATTTAAGGAAGCCTCAGAGAATTTGGCGAAAGCGGAGAGACTTTCAAGGGAGTTGCTGCAGTGTGGAAGGATTATAAAGGAAGAGTGGATAGAAGTCCAAGCGCGAATCAAATTGTCATTTGCACAGTAAGTTTCAGGTCTAGAATGCCGTTTGTGTGGCAGCTGGAGGTTCTTTACCAGGAGAGTCCGTCTGTGGACAGCAGCTGCTTCCCCGTGGGGCTTGTCTACGCCTTCTCTCAAGCCTGTTGTCCAAAGGTAAAAGAGAAGCCCGGACACGTCAGAGCAGCCCGAGCAAGACATATCAGTGACCCTTTTCACCTGATGTCGGGTGCCTTCGTATCCACCCAGGGTCCTAGATCTGGGGTCGTTATTTCCGTGGCTGGCATTCTGCCTGCCCTCTCTTCCTCCCTGCTGCCTCTGCATCCCTCCCTCCCTCCCTCCCTTCCTTCCCACCCTCAGCCCTCCACTGCTCCAGTCTTCAGGCTTCAGTGGGTTGATTTTATGATTCGGCCCTCAAAGGCGAAAGATCTTAAGTAGGTCGGGATCTATGGTAATAAGACAATTGTTCTTTGCTCCCCACCCAACTCTACACTCACCAAATAAACCAGGCTGGAAAGGATATAAAAAGAAGGCCATGGGCCTTGGGTAGTTGGCACCTTTATACCTCCCCAAAGGCCCAACCCAGTGCCAGTTCCCCAGAGTCCTGGGATGACAGTGTGCCCTTGCTGCATGGAAGGGTGAACAGTGGGGGAAAGAAGGTAGAAAACGGTCCATTCTAGAAGGGACAGGATCCCTGGTGACCTGTGACTACCCTTAGCCAAAGCCAGAATTCATTTTACCTCCATAACCAGACTGTGTGCATAGGTTGATTCTCAAAAGAGCTCAGAACACCTATAGGATCATTCTAAGAAATGAATTAGCAAAGAACTCCAGTGAACACACCTAATGCTTCCATGTGGATGGAAAATGGAAAGGACCAGCCTTGACTCAAGCAAGACTGTGTGTGTGTGTGTGCGCGCGTGCGTGTGTGTGTGTGTGTGTGTGTGTGTGTTTAATCAGTTCCTCCTTGTTCATTTGTTTTGTCTGCAAGTGCAGAGTTCATCTGTCTGTGCAAGCCCCCTTGGACCCCTTTTTTAAAAATTTATTTTATTTTTTGACACAGGGTTTCACAATGTAGTTCAGGCTGCCTGGACTCACTATGCAGCCTCAGCTGGCCTCGAATTCACGATGATCCTTCTGCCTCAGCCTCCCAAGTGCTGGGAGATACCTATTTTAATGATGGTTTATGTCTTTGACTGTGGCTCTATGCATAAGTACTATTTAGTTTGTGTGTGCTTTAAATTTACATAAACTTATATCTATCTCATTGTTTCTTACTTTTTCTCTACTCAACTGTTTTAAACTGTTGCGTGTATGTTAGTGACTTGTTTCCACCCTCTGCGTGGTGCTTCACAGAATGCATGCAGCGCATTTTATTTATTTTATTTATCCAGCTCCTAGCAGTGGACACTGAGCTTGTCCCCAGCTCTCTGCTGCCACCAGTGCTACCATGAATATTCATGAACGTTCACCTCCGTGACTAAGTGAGGCCTTATTTGAGGTTTACACCCTAGGCCGGGGTTTCTGGGGATGGGTGGAAGCACACTTCCAATTGACTAAGCATCCGCTGATTGCTAACCCTGTTGACATCCCCCCTTGCCAGACAGGTGGATTTCTGTTTCTCATGTCCCCAGTAACGTCTGGCATTGTCATCTTTCTGCTTGTTGCCAACTTGTTATATGTAACATTGCTAATTATGTGAAATTCTATTTACATTTATCTTATTCCTGAGTGTGAATTCCTCTTCCTCTACTTCTTAGCCATTTGGGATTCCCTTTCTTTTTTTTTCTTTTTTTTTGCAGTGTCGGGAATTGAACTCCCAACCTTGTGCTTGCCAGGCAGGCGCTGTGCCACTGAGCTAAATCCCCAGCCCCTTGGGATTCCCTCTCTATGAATAGCCTATAAGTATTCCTTATTTTTCCTTTGGAATTCTCTGTACTCTTCCTATGGGTAATCAATACTTTCTTGTATGTTATTAGTGATATTCCTTTTTTTAATGTTTGATTTATTTTGTTCATGTTCTTCATGGCACAGAAATTCTCCATTTTGTTACAGTCAAATTCATTCCTATTTACCTTTTGATTTATATTTTGGGAGTTTGGTTAAAAAGTGTTTCCAGTCCAAATATCACAAGTATTCTCCAAAATTTCCCTAGAAGCCCTGCTTTGGCGCTGCCTCCTATGTTATAACATGTAGCATTCATCAGTGTCATTCATAAGTTCTTAGGATTTTTGAACTTAGACATTTCTCTTTAGTCAGAAGATTATTCAAATGATGCATGTTTCAGTTTGCAGATATATGTGAGTTCTCGAGACATTCTGATGTTCCTGATATCTAATTTTGTTACATTATGGACAAAAACCTACTTGCATGGTATCAACTCTTTGAAATGTATTGATGCTTTCTTTGTGACCACTGTCAACTTTCATGAATGTTCCAAATATGGTATGAAAGAAATTATATGTTATTTTATTGTATTTAACACTCTAGTAAACCTGTACTAGTGTGACCTTATTGATTCTGTTATTTACATTTATATCTTTATGTTTTGCCCATTTGATACACTAGGGTTTAAGATGAGTGTACTGTATTTAAAATCTCCAAGGATAATTGGCGACCTGTCTGCCCCTCCTCAGAGCCCGGCTGGTCCCCGCTGAACATACTGGGAGGCTGCTTTGTTGGGAGGAGGAGGATACAGCAGCACCGTCATCTTTGTCATCAGCAGTTCTCGTCCTTTCTCTTCCTCTCTGTCCTGCCTGATGCTCTGCTCTCTTTTCCTACAAATTTTGCTTCAATGCCCTTTTTCATATTTTTAAATCTTTGAATTTGTTTCCTTTTATCCTGTCAACTTTATGTTGGTTTCTTGCTGCTTTTTAGATTATATCTAAATATTTTTAGCATTCCATTTTCCTACCCCTTGACTTGTAAATTATATGTTATTTGTATCTCCGACTGATTATCATCTTATTCTCAATTAATCAATTAGTGGCTTCCAGACACGCAGGGACCTCTGAGCACATTGACACTCTGTGGATGCCGGTTGTCCTGTGTAATTAAATCACCATGTGTGTACCACAGGCAAGCCAGAGAAGAAGAAGTTATTTGTAATACATATAACTGATAAAGGGCTCATACCTAGAATCTGTAAGGGGCCCCAATATCTTAGTAAAACTAAGGCAAGCAACTGAGCAATAAAAAAAACAGCAAGAGTCCTTTCACAAAAAGGGTGCTCACACAGCTAATATGCTTGCTAAGGGTGTTCCCTCTCCTCGGTCATCAGGGACGTGAAAACTGAAATCTAAGATACTATGATCGTCCTGTTAAGACTTCTTGAAAGACTGGTAACTTCCAGCGTGGACAGGATGTGGGATACAGACACGCCCTCTCCTGTGCCCGGATTGGGACTGTGTATAACTACTTCCGTGAAACGTTTGTCATTACCTACTAGATTGGAACATTTGCACCCCCTTTGACCCAGTAATGTCACTCCCAAATATACACCCAGCAGGCATACCTGCAGGCATCGACCAAAAGACACAACCAAGTGTGTTCAAAGCTTCCTTATTTATAATCGCCAAGAACTGGAAAACAACCCAAATGTTTCTCAGAAATAGAATAGGATTGTTATCTGCTCATGCAAAGAAAATAGTCAAACTGCTCCTTGATTAATATCATGGTTAGCTCTCAGGAACACAATGTTTAGTTCAAGCAACCAGACCCGGAAGAGTCGTTCTGCAGTTCTATTTATGTAACGGGAGGAGGAAGAGGGCTGCGGGTGGCTGGGAGAGCTCATCTACCCAGAACCTTTTCCTGCTCAGACGTAAGCGCTATCCTATCTTGGAAGGCAGGAAATACACAAGTCAGAGGTTCAAGATCTTATGCTTGTTGCCTCTGTTGAGATCTGACTAACCTATCCGGGCTTAGTTTTGAGCAGGTTGCTACAAAACAGAAAATCACCCTCTCCAAGAATCTGGCGCCACCTCGAAAATGCTTTCCAAAGTAGCAGTACCAAATCTTGCCAGCAGATGGCGGGCCTCGTACGCATCTGTGCTGAATAACAACCAAGTGTAGCAAGCTGTTCTACAAAGTTAGTTTTGTATCTAGCAGAGTTGTTCCGAAGTTGTGACTTCTTTTCACCCTGATCCTTCATCCTGCCGTCTTCACTGCAACATACCTATTTAAACTGCGTGCCTTTCATTCAGTGAGTTTGCTCAGTGTCCTCATCGACGTGTGAAATGTTTCCTTGTTGAAATACCCAAACTGATCTACTTTGGAAAGAAAGGAGGCTTTTGTTTTTTATATGGTTTTGTAGCTACACTTGAGCCTTTCCTTTTGCCAGGTCTCAGACGCGGAAGGCCAGGATAATTTCCTAGGCGTTTCTCAGAAGGTTTGTGTCCCTTTTAAAAGGCCGTCTTTCAGCGTATCCTCTTCCTCCATCTGCCTGTCCTTTTATGGTGCCTGTCAGGCCCGCGGCCTTTCTCCCCAGGCTGACATGTAAGTGCTGAAGGGTGACTCATGCCCCGCGCCTTCCATCCCTGCTTTGGCCCGAAAGCTGCTTTCCTCTCTCTCCTCCGCTGCCCACGCGCTGCTTCATTCAAAAGCGATTCTTTAACTTTGCACGGCGAATCCACATCATGCACACCTGGTTTGTATTGCGGCCATGTGCCCCTAAGTCAACTAGAGAAAGCCACCAGCAAAAGTGAGCAGACTTTCTTCCAGGGTTCGCAGCTGTGTTCTGTTCTCATTACTGACAGATTTCCAGAGGGAGATAGTTGCGTTTATATGGACAAGCATATACCATTGCGTGTACTTGTACATATGTGTGCATACACACACTCACCTTTTAAAATGAACGTTTCTGTGTGGCTTTATGATGGTCTGTTGAGCTTGCTACTCTAGAACTTGTGCTTTGCCTGCAGCTTTCCCTGTGACTGTGTGGCGCGTCCTCCCTGGGGTCTTCCGCGGTGTGCCCAGCAAGCCCTTGGAAGGCACTGCTGTGCTGAGCTAGCCCAGGTATAAATAAATTT